CTACGTGGTGTAGATAGGGCCACGCCCGACCGTCTTTGTCTCTCTATTGTCGCAGTGCAGAGTACAAGGAGGACTTTGTATGCTGTCGCGATGAAGGGGGGGGCGTAAGGGGGGGGGGGCGTAAGGGGGGGGGGGGGGGGGGGGGGGCGTAAGGGGGGGGGGGGGGGGCGTAAGGGGGGGGGGGGGGCGTAAGGGGGGGGGGCGGTAGGGGGGGTGGGGGCGTAAGGGGGGGGGGGGGGGGCGTAAGGGGGGGGGGGGCGTAAGGGGGGGGGGGCGTAAGGGGGGGGGCGTAAGGGGGGGGGGCGTAAGGGGGGGGGCGGTAAGGGGGGGGGGCGTAAGGGGGGGGGGCGTAAGGGGGGGGGGCGTTACGGGGGGGGGTAAGGGGGGGGGGCGTAAGGGGGGGGCTCCGTAAGGGGGGGGGCGTAAGGGGGGGGGGCGTAAGGGGGGGGGGCGTAAGGGGGGGGGGCGTAAGGGGGGGTGGCGTAAGGGGGGGGGGGCGTAAGGGGGGGGGGGGCGTAAGGGGGGCGCCGCGCTTCGGGGCAGTCTCAATATCTCGCCAATTAAAGGCGCACGGGCCCCGTCTCGCCAATTAAAGGCGCACGGGCGCCTTATCGCTAATTAAAGGCGCACCACGGGGTGGTCGTCTGGGTTCTTGGAGGACGTGGAGCGCAGCTGCCCGGTCATCCCGGGGTGGGGGAGGGGAGGGAGAAATCTGACGCCTCTCAACACGTGCACACGCGCATTCCACACGTGCACGCGCGCGCGCACACACGCGCTACGCAGGCATGCACACAGACACATCGGCACACACAAACCAAACGGACAAACACACGCGGGCACGACACTGATACACGTGTACACACACGCACAGGCGGAAAGACACGAACAAGCGCGCACACAAACATACGGTGCACAGACACACACAAAGACAAAGATCACCCGTGCAACCTACAAAGGTTGTTTCGACAAGTGCTTTTAGCGAACACCTATGAAGACCAGCACGGCACACGATGGGGTGGTGTGGCCAGAATCACCCACGGCCGTATTTGTCTTCCAAATGATGTTTCCACACGGCACCGGCGACCCATTTGAGGCTGGGTCGAACCAGGGGAGACCCAGGGCTGGTTGGTCGTGAGCTGAAATCGAACTCGTGTCGCCGGGTTCGGAGCACAGCTTACTAACCACTGCGCCATCGCTCCCAAAACGCGCACACACACAAACGCGCACATTCCACATTCGCATCGGCACACGCAGACACGGACACATGTAGAGCTTTCCAATAACAAACACAGAGATCGCGCAATGTGGCAATACCGGCCGACCCCTCGTGGGCTGTGCCGGCCTTAATAGGTGCTCGCAAACAGAACCTGCTTCAGACGCAGCACCTGGCTAGGGTGGCACATACAGAGACACACACGCGCACGTTCAGACATGTACAGAGACGCACATACACGCAGAATATGCTCTCTCACGCGCACACACATACAAACAAAACACAGATCGCCTGTATATCCTGTAACAAACTGTAGGCGCATTAACTGTTAGCGGCGACCTATGAAGGCCGGAACAGCACACGAGGGGGTGATTGACCAGCACCACACCCGGTCGCCTTTGTCTCCCCAGTGGCGATGTTTGCACATCGCACCTGGTACTCATTTTAGGCTGAGTTGACCTTGGGGAGGCCCAGGACCGGTTCAGATAATATCATCGTCAATGGTGGTGGCCGTGAGCGGGAATCGAACTCGGCGCGGCGGGTTCATAGCGCAGCGGAGCGCTAACCGCTACACACGCACACAACAATAACCGCCATTCGCCACTAAGTGGCGGTGACGTCACCACGATGCTTGTGCCAGGCTATGTGCATCTTGAGGCCACGTGAAGTGTCGAACGCCCGCTGGCAGGAGGTCACGGGGCAGACCCGGGTGCCACGGGTCGACTGAGACGACTGGCTGATGCACCACCTGTGCCCCCTACTGTGCCACGCACACACACACACACGTGCTTTCACTTCAGCAATGCCCACGTTTGGAAGAGGGTACCGAGTTGATCCTCACACCTCGCTCGCACACAGGAGGACCCCATTAAGGGGAACCCCGCGATAGCGGACCCTAATTTAGGAAACCTCATTTAGGGACCCCACTATAGGATAACCAATGTTTTGTGAGCTCGCGTTAGGGCATCCCACTTTAAAGGACCCCGCTTTTGAATTCCTTTTTAGGGGACCTCGTTTCAGGGACCCCACGTCAGGTGACCCCCACTTTAGAGGACCGTGCTTTAGGAGACCCCCTTTTAGGGGACTCCACATTAGGGGATTCCGAGATTAGAATGCGCGGTCCCAAGAGACCGGGATAATTCTGGTGAGAATTCGCGTGCGTGACGGCACGTGGCTGGGTGGGGTGGGGCGGGGGGTGACATCTGAGAGGAGGGACGTCATCCATGATCATTGCTAGCACCAGCCAGCACGGTCATCACCACCAGTGCTAGCAGCAGCAGCAGCGTCTCCACTAGCGTCAATGATTTCAGGGTGCCCGTCGATGAAATCTGAATTTGAAACGTGACCGTAGCCGCCACCATCGTCGGCAGCAGAAGCATTGCTAACATCATTACCACCAGAACCATCACCACCAGCAGCAGCATCACCAGCAACATCACCACGATCATGACCAGCAGCAGCGGAATCACCAGCAGCATCACCACAATCATTACATCATCAGCAACATCACCATTGTCATCATCAATGTAACGTGCATGTGGGTGACATCTGAAAGGGTGACATCATAATCATTACCATCATCGCCAGCAGTAGCAACAGCACTACCATCATCATAACCACCACCACTCTCATAATCATTCTCATTATCTTTGCGCAATTTTCAACACGGATCTTTATGGGCAACAATTCACTTGCTGACATCAAGGTGACCCTAGTCAGACATCATTATCATAATGCACAAACGTCGCCACAAATCTCGGTGCGTATAACATGAGTCACTGGGTGACATCACTCACAGTGACTTCATTGACACGGCCACCGCTACGCCGAGACTTGCAGTCAGATCTCTTGCACCGACACATTTCGTTATAACGCGACGCTCAGCAGCTCCCAGTGTGCATCCACAGGCGCTGGGTGCCATTTGTAAGTTTCGTCTATTCAACTATTTTTTTTTATATTTGACCAGATAAAACCCACAGGGCTACACAGCTCTTCTTCGGAAACGATCTGGCCACAATTGATAGCTCAACCAAGTGGCTTATCACGTGGACATTTATGGCAGCCAAATATTCGAAACGCACGTTTCTAAATGTGGAGGGAGTAACCGGAAGGGCCCGGAGAAAAATCCACGCGACCACGGGGAGAGAAAGAGACACGCAAACTCCAAATATGCAGCAGCAGGCGTCAGGGTCGGGATCGAACCCACGACCTCCTGCATACCAGGCGAGGTAGTTAACATCTCCTAGCCACCGTGATGATGATTAGAGAGAGAGAGACACGCAAACTCCAAAGACAGCAAGCGTCACGGTCGGGATCGAACCCATGACCTCCTGTGTACAAGGCGATGTAGTTAACATCTCGTCACAGCGACACTCCCAGGGTGACATCCGACAGTGACGTCGCTCGGGATGAGATCATAATCGGCATCACCACCCTCATCATCACCATCAGCTGCCAAATTTGATGAATTACCCGCAAGCTTACTCAATTATAATACAGCACTGTATATATTGCAATAATCACTTCCGACACGCCCCGCGTCGCACCCTGCCCCCTCCGCGAACCTCAGCAGGGCCCTCCTTGAATAAGAGCGCATCGCCGATTCACGGGAACCAGCGATGCTTTCTTGGGTAAACAATCGTAATAATTGTCATCTTACTATGTAACACGATTTTTGTTCCTGGGTAGTAAAGTGTTATTTTCTAATTGCTTATGCCTCAAAAGTACAGAAAATGGCTATTATTATTCCCCACGAACTTTGCTTTTGTGACCAGGACTTTATTGTGAAGGAATGACACAAATGCACACCACGTTTTCTCATTGAAAACTTCAAATATCACTGTCCTGGTCACAAAAGCAAAGTTTGTGGGGAATAACAGCCATTTTCTGTACCTTTGAAGCATACGCAATTAGAAAATAACACTTACTACCCAGGAGCAAAACCAAAATGTTTTTGTTACACACATAATCATCGTCGTGCGTATGACCCCACGTCTCAATGCGCATCAATCGGCGCTGAGATGACATCAGCGAGGGCGACGTTCGGGTGACATCGATCAGCTGGCCTCTCTCGGACGGGTGTCACGTGCCGAGCGCGTGCCACGTGGAGGCCGCCCTCCTTGTTTGTTGTGTCACTCGGCGCGACACCGCCACGGCCACCGCGATCACAGTCTGTGTTTAGATTGCGGAATCATTAACCCGCGGTCTCAGAGCGCAATAAAAACAAGAATCACTGCTGGAAATGAATGGGTGACGTCGGTGAAGATGGCATGAGTCGAGGGGACATCGCTCTCGTGACCCCCCCCCCCCCATCGCCTCTCTGCCCCCTTCCCCCTTCTTACCCTTTAGCCGGGGTCAGCGTTTCTCTTCGCCCCCACCCCCTCGTGCAAGGGGGCGGACTGCGACTCGGTGGAGGGGTCGCTGCCTCTCCCGCCTCGCGAGAGGAACGAACTGTGAACCCTGCACGGCTCTGTTCTGCGGGGGGGGGGGGGGTGATGTAATGTTGTTAGGGGTCGTGGGGGGGGGGCAGAGCTGCTGGAATGGGATGGCCCCAAGTGTGTGAGAGGTGATGAAGGGGGGTGAGGGGGGGGCGAGGAGGGGGGCGAGGAGGGGGGGGGCGACGAGGATGGGGGGGGGGGCGAGGAGGGGGGGGGGGCGACCCACTGCGCTATGATTGGTTTGGACCGCACCCAAATCGAAGCAGTGACGTCACCAGCAGTCAGCTGTTTTGTTTCGCCGGGCTCGCGGAGCTCATTCACAGGGAGCCAGAGAGAGGACAGGAGGACAGGGGAGGGGTGGAGAGAGAGAGAGAGAATGAGCGCGCGGGAGAGGAGAGAGTAGCAGCGTGCACGGTGAAAGGAGTGTGCAAGATAGATGATAGGGGAGAGAGCAAGGGTGCGGGATGAAGAGAGCGAGAAAGAATGTGAGTGCATGAACGCGGGAGAGTGGGGAGCGAGAGAGGGAGAGTGCAGGAGGGAGCGCGCGAGTTGACGAGCGTGAGCGAGCCGGCGTCTTGAGTCGCCATGCGGCTGCTGGGTTTGGGCTGCGCGCTGCTGGCGATACTGCGGGTGCGTGAGTGATGCACACACAGCAACACACACACAGAAACACACACACAGCAACACACAGCCAGCAACACCACGCAGAAATACAACCAGAAATGCATGAAACCGACAACACAACAGGAGACGTAGCCACAGCCAGCAACATACCAATACAGCACAGCAACACCACAACAAGCAGCCATACAGAGTAACAACAGCAAACACAACACGGCAACAAGCAACACAACCATCCCATTCACCAGCAGCACTCCAAACCCTGCTGCCCTACAGCTCTCACTTCCCCCGCGCCCCCTCCCCCTACCCCCCTCCCCCCACCCTCATCGCACGCGCGGCTCGCAGTGAGGCCAAGACGGAGGCAGCAGCAGCAGCACGTGGGTCCCAGACGTAACCCCCCACCACCCAACCCCCCCACCCACCACCCAACCCCCCACCCACCACCCAACCCCCCCACCACCACCCAACCCCCCACCACCACCCAACCCCCCCACCCACCATCCAACCCCCCCACCCCCCCACCACCCAACCCCCCCACATCCAACCCGCCCCCACCACCCCCCCCCACCACCACCCAACCCCCCCACCCACCATCCAACCCACCCACCATCCAACCCCCTCACCATCCAACCCCCCAACCTCCCCACCACCTAACCCCCCCCACCCACCACCTACCCCCCTACCCACCACCAACCCCCCCACCATCCAACCCCCCCACCATCCAACCCCCCCACCATCCAACCCCCCCACCCCCCCCACCACCCAACCCCCCCCCACCACCCAACCCCCCCCACCATCCAACACCCCCCACCATCCAACCCCCCCACCCAACCCCCCCCACCATCCAATCCCCCCACCACCCAACCCCCCCACCACCTAACCCCCCCACCATCCAACCCCCCCCACCACCCCACACCTAAACTGGGGCTGTTAACATATTTTGTTTCTTTTATAACCGGTAACCGCCTGTAGCAAAATCTGGTCAATAAAACGGTACAACGATTATAGAAACGGGTGCTGCTTATCGTGAAACAACTCTCACCTGTGCGCATAGCCATCCCTAGGGTACGGCGAATCTGGGCGATCGCCCCGGGCCCCGTGCTTTGGGGGGGGAGGGGGCGAGTCGGTGGCACGCTTCGACGTCGATATCATCAGATGTGACACGTCCGGTTTAGTTTGAAGGCGTCCTGGGGGTCCACGCAAGTGGGAATCGCCCCGGGCCCCGCACTCCCCCCCTCCCTCCTCAATGTAACAGCCCCCACACACGTATCGGACACCCCCACACCCGACACCTCGCTCTCGTGCATCCCTCACGCCTCACTCCACACGCACACCCTGCACGCACGCACACCTTGCCCCACACCCACTCCCTACACCCGATACTCATACACCGCGTTCACCCTACTCCTTACCCCGGCCAAGTCCCCCCCCCACCTCTCTTCGTCTCGCCGTGAATTCGACCTTTGAAATTCCCACGATGCTCTGTCTGCACTCAGCACCACCACTCATTGCTGCTCCGCCCCCCACCTACCTCCATCCCACCCGCCATCCCACCCGCCATCCCACACCCCCCTCCTCCTCCTCTCTCAACCACTCCACTTCTGTTCACAATCATCTGCAGCCATTGTCTCTCCACTGCTGGATGAAGGCCGCATCACCAGCTGCCCCTGCCGTCCGGGGCGTCGCGAGGGGGAGATGTTAACTACCTCGCCTGGTGTACAGGGACTCGTGGGGTCGATCCCGACCCTGACGCCTGCTGCTGTATATTTGGAGTTTGCGTGTTCGCCCCGTGGACTGTTACCCGGTTGCTTCTGTGTTTTCCTCCACATTTAGAGTGTTTTGGCTACTGCTATACATTTCCACGTGGTGAGTCACTTCGTTAAGCTATCATTTGTGACCAGGTCGCTTCTGAAAAAGCGACATAGTCCAGTGGGCCTTACCTGAGTCTTAGTCTAGTCTGTCTCCGGGGACTATCCCACACAGCCTGAATTGCAGAACTTAGGCAACAACCAATAACCATCACCGCCACAACTACCTACCACCGCATCTACAACCACGACTAACAACCACAACTACCCACCAACATAAACGACAGCTACACCATCAACATGGTAACCAATACCTCCACTAACCAGCACCACAATTACCTATCCCCACCAATAACTATCGCCCGTATACCTTAGCAGCCTCTTTGGGGAAAGCGCTGTAAGCGAACACCTATGGAAAGCCAGTACGGAACACGAGGGGTAAGTTACCATCGCCACCAGTTGCGCATTTGCGACTGAGTCGACCTAGGGTTATGCCCAAGACGGGTTCAGATAATCGTCACTGGTGTTGACCGTGAGCGCGAATCGCTGGATTTGTAGCGTAGCACGCAAACCGCTACACTACCGCTCCCCACACAACCATCACTATCAACAACACTGCCACCATCACCACCACCATTTACACCCCCACCCCACCCACCGTCAGAGTCCCTGGTCTTGCCCTACCCCGCGAGTCCCATGCATCACAAACACACCCCCGAAGTGTTTTCCCTGATATTGAGGGGGAATGTGAAATCTTCCCCGAATGTCGTTTGTAGCTCCCATCACAATCACCCCCCCCCCCCCCCCCGCTTGTCTTGGTAGCCCTCAGCTCGGGAGGCGCTAAATTTAACGACATTTCCACCAATCCCCATAACGCGCCCCGGTATTCCTAGACGCACGTTACGAGACACCTTAAAGGCACCTCTGGTCGTGTTCCTCTCTCGCTGCCAAGCCGGTGGGGTTTCCGCGTCTCAGCCCAAACTCGGCACCCCCGGGGGGGGGGGGGTGGACTGGGGTCTGGGGGTGGGGGGCACGGGGGGCTGGGGGGGTCAGAGCGTGAGCGAATTTCATCTCCTGCTGACCATCACCCCACCCCACCGCCCATCAAGCTGGACTTCTCTTGACCTCCTCCCTCACAGCTCGCTCTTGACCCCTCCTGGTCCCCATTCACTCTCTGCTCTCCCTTGCGCCCAGGAGCAAAGGACGAGGGCCCTGGAGCCAGGGGTCGTGACCCCGCACGCAGGTAAGACCCGACCCCGCATGGACGGACAGCCAGACACACGTGTACACGCACACGTGTGTAGGTATAGGTGCAGTCCTGCCGTGGCTTGGATTGCTCGTGCCACTTCTGTTGGAAGGGCTAGATAGGGGTTCTTAGAAAGCCCCCACTAAAATTATATTTGACCGACTCTCAATCCACGCTGACCAGACGTCTTGGAAGAGGTGGGGAGTTACCTACGCTTTACCCCACTGCGCGCGACATCCCACTGCTCCATCTCCTCGGTTCGTCATTGATGACCTCTGACCCTGCTCCTTTCCAGAGACGCGTCATGCCCCTTTGCCCACTTGCTTGCGTGGACAGTTTGAAGTACAACCCATACACAGAGACGATACACACACATGCAAAACATACACGTATACAATGTACACACATGCAAAACATACACACATTTACAATGTACACACACATTTACAATGTACACACACAATTACAATGTACACACACATGCAATACATGCACATATTGCTGGCTCACCAGCTCTTGCCCCCAACAGTTTCTTGGGGCTGTATAGTCGCGGTGGGGGCGGTGGGCTGGTGAGTGGTCTCTGCTGTACGCGTGCGTGACGGTGCAGGGTTGGTGGTCGAGGGCGCGGTGCGGCTGGTGGGGGGCTCGGGCCCCCACGAGGGCCGCGTGGAGGTGTACCACGCTGGGGAGTGGGGCTCTGTGTGCGACGACCAGTGGGACGAGCGCGACGCGGCCGTGGTGTGTCGCCAGCTCGGCCTCCCGTGAGAAACATCAACAGCAGCAGCAACAGCATCATCAGTAGTAGCAGCAGCATAATCATCAGTAGTAGCAGCAAAATCAGCAGCAAACACTATCAGCAGCATTATTACAATTGCCGCCACCAACTCCATCACCACCACCATCTCTCCCACATGACGTCACCGCCACCACACATCCCCGCGGTCCGGCCCTGAGCGATCGGTGACGTCGCGCTCCGCTAATTTACCTCCCACGTCGTGCAGCAGAGTCCCACTTCAGGGAATTGATCGCGGCCCAGAGATCCTAATTGCGATGATGTCACCAACGAGGAGCGCCTCCTGCTGGGAACGTCTGGGCCCCCAGACCACTCCAGGGAGGCCTGGGGGAGGGGGGGAGGGGGGGGAGCTTGAGAGGTTAGGGCAAGGGGCCCGTCGAGACTCATTAACCCAGAGGTCAATCTCGCAGCCTGGGGCAGGAACGCGTGACGGGCGCCGTGGATAGCCCATGCCCTGTGTTGGTGGTGAAACCGGTGGTTAATAAACAAATGCGTTTTCGCTATTGATTTTTGCGGTCATATCGCGTGAGTATGATGTGATGTCGTGCGCCCTCCTCCACCCGACACAGCCAATTAAGTAAAGTCGTCACGTGGGCCAACGGGCTGCTAGTGTGTCACTGCTGGGTCAGCACCCCCGGTGTGCTGGAGAGCGATCATCCGCTACACACCTCGTACTCCCACTCACGGGGGGGCGGGGGGGGGGGTGAAGCGGGGTAATTACGTTGGCGCGTTTGTTCACGGGACGAACTTTTACTTAATTGGCCATGTCGGGTGGAGGAGGGTGTACGACACACGCATTTCATTCCCGCGATCTGACCCCCTAACATTTGTTGGCGAAACCTATAAGGGCATGGAGATTTCTTTTAATAATGCTGTTCATAGGAATATAGGGTAAAATTAGAAAGGATTACAATCGTAAGACCTGCCTTGTACTCTAATGATAGTGCCTTACACCGATAATCCCGAACCAAGCCATCCCCGAGTAGCGTATCCAGGAAGAATGTCGAGCGACATCTTAAGCCCCGCTTGTAACGATCAGCCCATTGTCAAGCAAACGACACACACATCCACTGTTGTGTGTTTCGTTTCATGTTAAACCATCCATTATCCCCATGGACATGGTGTCCTCGTGTTCCTGTCTCTTCCAGTATTCTCCCCATGATCCCGTGTCTCCTCATCCTTAAATTCCTCCTCCTCATCCCCCCTTCATGCCCCTCGTGTGCTTATAGCTATAATTTTCCCCATCCATGTCCTGCGACCCTGCGTCTCTTCCTCCACGTCCCCACGTTCCCTGCGTCTCTTCCTCCATCTCCCTCGTGCTCCCATTTCTCCTCCTCCACGTCCCCGTGCCCCCTAACCCTGCCCCTGCTGCGTCTCCTCCATCCACCCGCCCGCTCCCCGTGCGCCCAGGGGCCGGGTGCGCGCATGGACCTGGGCGCGGTTTGGCGAGGGCACAGGACCCGTGTGGGTGGACGAGGGGGGCTGCACGGGGAACGAGCTGGCGCTCGGCGATTGCGAGCGAGCGCCATGGGGCCAGCACGACTGCTCCCACCGCGAGGACGCGGGGGTCTCCTGCGACCCCCACAGCGGTGAGGGAGAGCCCCCCCCCACCCCCTCCCCTCACCCCACAGCACCCCACCTGCGTTGGACGGGGAGAAGGAAGGACTCGAAGCTCCAGGATGGTCTGGTGGGGACCCAGCTTGTCTCGCGCTACTCCCCTCCACGCGCTCTCTGCTCCCCCTGTCAGATCCCCCATGTCAGCCTCCGCTCAGTGCGAGGTGCCTCATTCGCATTGGCTGCCCCCATCGTCTGTTCCAGCAACTTCCCTTCCCCAGCTCTCCGTGCTGTGGTCCCCTGCTCCTGTTCAAGTGATGGAGGCTCTGAACCTTCATTGTCTTCCCCTCGTGACCGCCCTCCCTCTATAAATACGCACGCCCACCGCATGGCATTCTGGCGGTCCGATTTTAGAAATTGTTAAAATCCAAAGTTGTATTTTTAGAAATAGCATCGCCTTGTCAATGGATAGAACATGCGCGACAGATGATGCAATCGAGACGGACAGTACAAATGAGACGGAATAAACGAGTCTCCCCAATAAAAAAAACAGGACCCTGGCAAGGGAAGGTGACGACGATAATGCCGATCCAACCGAAACTACGTCACGAAGACGTGAGACTCACCACCTTGATCTCTCCTGTTCCCGCGACCACTTATCCCCCATGCCCCTTGATCCCGCGGGGCGACAGAGGGCGCGGTGCGGCTGGTGGGGGGCTCGGGCCCCCACGAGGGCCGCGTGGAGGTGTACCACGCCGGGGAGTGGGGCTCCGTGTGCGACGACCAGTGGGACGAGCGCGACGCGGCCGTGGTGTGTCGCCAGCTCGGCCTCCCGTGAGAAGCATCAACAGCAGCAGCATCATCAGTAGCAGCAGCATCATCAGCAGCATCATCATCATCGGCACTTATCAATCCAATTATTTCAGCCATCAGTAGTATCAGCAGCAATCATCATCATCTCTTAAGTAATCATCATAATCATCAGCAGCATATTCATTCGTCCATCATTCACTGCCGCTATCAGCACTGTCACCAGCAGGATACACCACTACCATCACAACTACCACCATCACAACTACCACCATCACAACTACTACCATCACAACTACCACCAGCACAACCACCATCATTACCAACACCGCCCATTTCTACCAGCATATCCAACACCACCACCACCACAATTACTCCCCACCACCTATACAGTAGAACATCTTGTCACGAACGCTTCTGACCACGACCAAATCGGGTTCCGACCAAAAATTTCACAATTTTTGAATCTGGTCACGAACACAAACTCGGGTGGCGATCAAACATAGCCACGGCCGATTTCCCCTTCCACGTCATTTTTTTTTGTAAGCGCCAAATTCCCTGTTGTTTGTTTACAACAGCGACCCACGTGTGGTCGCTTGCTCAGTCAGTCTCGCTTAGTAATCAGTCTCTTAAAACTCTTAAAAAAACTGTGGGGTCTAGAACGGACTCGTGAAATCCGGAGAGAACTCGGAGTTAAGTTTTGTTTGTTTTGTTGAATTACACAAAACGTAACAGTTATGTATATAACTGTATATAACTTTTGTTATTTAAGATATTAATTTTGTGAGTGTAGTCATACCCCTCCCCCCTTCATTCAAGCCGTAATTTAGAGAGCGAAAGCGCTGAGTATGTAAATCACTAACATAAGAACCCGTTAATCTCTTCTCGCATCATTCATACGATGATGCGGTGAAGTAAACGTTCATACGATACTACGGTGAATACTTCCAAAAAAATACTTTACCCAAATATTACTGTTAACTTACTTTCAATAGAAACATGAATTGCTCTTACGAATATTCTCTCTCTCTCAGAATCGACCGACTGATGTAGCAGACGAAACAATCATCTTGTTGAACAATTCTAAACCTTGACGCGGCAATGTTAGTTTTCTCTGTTGTTCAAGGTTTTCTCAGTGTTATTCAATGTTTTTACATTTAGTTTACTATTACACTGTGAATTCTATGGCATAATTAATTATTTTTGTGCTTAAAAATCATTAAAAAACAATATTTATATACAGTTCGTAGGAGTCTGGAACGGATTAATCGTATTTACATACAATCCAATGGGTAAATTAGGTTCGAGTAACGACCAAATCGGGTTGCGACCAAAGTTATGGAACGAATTATGGTCGTGACCAGAGGTTCTACTGTACTAACAGAACCATCACTACTGCTGCCATATCCACTAACACCTACACCACCACTACTAACACCTCCACCACGACCACTAACTACTCCACCACTAACACCATTATCACCAACACCACCACCACCACAATCAAATTTGTCACATTTAAAAGTAGATTTACAACGAAAACTACTCAAAAGGGGTTTGCACAGAGTAATCATTGCCAGGGACTGTGAAAACGTGGCAGGATCCTCCCGAATAAAGAGTCTTGAGACTCCGTGAGGCTTCCCTGGGCAAACGAACCTAACAATAGTCAAGCAACAACACTTACACAACCACCAACCCCTTCTCAGCTACTGCTCACCCACCCACCCCCCCACGCGCCCCCCCCACCTTCCCCCACCGCCACTAGGGGGACGGCGCTGGTGTCCCGGGAGCTGGAGTTCGGGCCCGGCTCGGGGTTCATCCTGCTGGACGAGGTGGCGTGCGGGGGCTGGGAGGCGGCGCTGCGCCAGTGCGGCCACAGCGAGTGGGGCCGCCACGACTGCTCGCACCTCGAGGACGCGGGCGTCGTGTGCAAGGGGGGGCCCGAGACGCAGCCCCCCGCGCTCGGTAGATTCGCACGGGCGGGCTTGAGGGAGGGCACCTTGAGTGCACCTTGTGCCGTGCGTAGTAAGCATCGGCCGCTAGGGAGACAAAGGCGGCCGGGCGTGGTGTTGGCCAACCAACCGCCTCGTGTGCCGTTCCGGCCTTCATAGGTGCTCGCTAACAGCACTTGTCCCAACAGCCTGTTAAGGCTATACGAGGGATCTTTGGCTTTGGTGTTCCGCGTGATTACATTTTGTTGCGCGGTGTCTGCTGCTGCAGCGCGTGGCTGTCTAATCCTGCAGTGTGGAGGCAGCAAGCGAGGGTTGGCGGAACACCGCGCAGAAGTTGTTGTGAAACTCCCTTTCCGTACCCCTGGCTCGCCATATTCCAGGTGGACTAATTGCCATCTGTTTCCAGCTGTACGGGGATGGAGCGTTGCCTCCTCGTGCAGTGCGTGGGCTATCTCCAGGTGCTCCGATTTCCTCCCACGCTTTGTTGTAATAAACACGACTCGTCATTAATCGGCTGAAAATAATCTTAGAATAAATTCCCCATTGTGTATATGTTGAACTTATTTTGCACCGTACATAGCCAACCGTGTTAATCGGAGGTGCAGCAGCAGCAGCGGCAGCATCACCCTCCTGAAAACGAGCCCTATGATTGAGCGTGGCTCTGCTGGATAACGAAGTCATATCATTAACAAACGGCAATATCAATTGACCAATTAAGAGTATCCGTGAAAACGACCGCTGACCTGTCACCGTGTGCGACGCGTGCGAGGCAGGGCCCCCCGTGCGCCTGGTGGAGGGCGAGGGCCGCCGCGAGGGCCGCGTCGAGGTGCTGGTGGCCGGCGAGTGGGGCACCGTGTGCGACGACGGCTGGAGCGACAAGGACGCTGCCGTGGTGTGCACGCAGCTGGGCCTCCCGTGCGTGAACCACACAGAGACACTCCAGTAGCCGTCACAGGATGAACCAAACTCAAGACGAAACTATTTTTTTATTTTACCAGGCAAGGTCCCACTGAGCTACGTGTCTGTTCTTTCAGAAGCGACCTGGCTATCACAAATGATAGCTCAACGAAGTGGCCTTATCATCACGTGGAAATGTATGGCAGTAGCCACATTATTGTATATGTGGAGGGAAAAGCCGGAAGACCCGGAGAAATATCCACGCGACCACGGGGAGAACATGCGAACTCCAAATATACAGCAGGCGTCGGGCTCGGGATCGAAATCACGACCTCCTGCATAACAGGCGAGGTAGTTAACATCTCCTAGCCACCGTGATGATGATGCGAGAGAGAGAGAGGCAAACTCCAAATATAGAGCAGCAGGCGTCAGGGTCGAGGTCGAACCCACGACCTCCTGCATACAAGGGGAGGTAGTTAACATCTCCTAGCCACCGTGGCGGCACGGTGAGCCTACGAGGGCATGGTGTGGATAGCGGCCATGCCGGTCCGCCTTTGTGCTCCCCTGGTTATCGAAGTTGAAGCACTACAATCAGGTGATCATTTGAGTGCTGGGTCGACTTCGGGGAGGCCCAGAACCGGGTTTAAAAATTCGTCACTGATGTTGGCCGAGAGCTGAAAATAGAACTGGTCCGTAGCACAGTTTTCTAACCACTACACTACGTGCGTGTACATGTATGGGTGCACATTCGTGTGTGTGTGTGTATATACACGTACCAACCCTCTGTCAATACATTCCCATTAAGCTGCGTTCGTGAAAGGTGGTGGCAGCTTGTGGAGGCCTTTATCCGGCTAGTGATTATGATGATTGACGAGGTTGTGTTGCACGCAATGTACCAAGGCGTCACGTGATCCCCGTGTCCTCCTCGCCGCCTGACGGAGTCTCGCCAAGAGACCGTTACCGGCTGGGCGTTGCCACCTCTGCCACAGACCAAACTCAGACATCGTTCCTAATCAGCCGATGCCTCTTATCAAAAGTGTGCAGTGTATTGGCTGATGACATCTTAATATAAAAACGCAATGTAGCTGCAGGAGCCTCCTGAACACGAGTTGTGCGTCTCAGCGTGGCTCTCCTGGATATTTTTATTAATCAAAATACCGGGACCGGCCAAATCCTGCGACCCGAACACAGACGCCTCCCAGTTCCCTGACACACCGGCGGTGACCTCCCCCCCCACCTCTCCCCTCCTCATCGGCCATGCAGGGGCCCCGCGCGGGCACTGGGGATGGCGTTCTTCGGTGAGGGCTCGGGCCCCATCCACCTGGACAACGTGAAGTGCTCCGGCTGGGAGCGCGCGCTGGGCCAGTGCGCCCACCTCGCGTCCCACGAGCACAACTGCCGCCACAGCGAGGACGCCGGGGTGGTGTGCGGGGAGCACGCGGAGCCCGCGCGACTCGGAGACCGCCCCGGGGACGCCGCGCAGCTCGCTGATGGTGAGGGGCACGGGGGGAGAGTGGGGGGCAGTGGGGGTGGGTGGGGGTGGGGAAAGTTGGAGGGTACAGGGGGTGGTGTGGGGCGAGTGAAGGAAGAGTTGGGGAAGGAAGTGCTGGTGGGGTGGGGAGGAGGTAGAGTGGGGGGAGTTGGGGAGGTAGAGTGGGGGGGGGGGGGGTGCGATATATTTGGCAGGCTTGGGGTGGGGGGTGCAGTTTAGGGGGTTAAGGGGAGAAGTTAAAGGGAGGATTTGCGGCCAGGGTATCGAGGAACGAGGCGTGCGTGGGTAGCATGGCGGGGAGTGAGAGGGGGGAAGTGAGAGTGGGCGGTTGAGGGGGGCTGCCGAATGTTGTAGGTAGGATTGGGGGGGTGGACGGTGGAGATGTCAACTCAATGTATTCGCTGTTTCTATTCGGGGAGCATCGGCTCTTATCGATTCCTCTGGCTCGGGACGCGTGTTTTAAACAGCAACCTCCCTTTGGTGACGTTTATATTCTGAATTTTGGGGAGCTCATTTGAATAGTCGACGTGATCGGTGCTGCCCCCCCCCCCCTCCCTCCCCCCGCATGCCCCCTCCGCCACACCGAGGTCCCCTCTCTGAGGTGTGCGGACGGCGCTTGGCCAATCACCGCAGGAAGAGGATCGTGGGTGGCGCAAAGTCGCTCAGGTGGGGCCCGCATCTGTCTGTTAGTTCACGTGTCCGTCCGTGTGTCCGTCCATGTAAGTGAGTGCGTATGGGGAGTGGTGGCGCAGTGGTCAACGCACTGCGCGACAAAGCCGGGTACCTGAGTTCGATTCCCACTCATGGCCAGCGGCAGTGACGAATTTATGAACCGATCCATGTGCCTCCCCTAGGTCGACTCAGCCTTAAATGAGTACCTGATGCGGTTCGTAAACTTCGCCGCGAGGGAGACAAAGGTGGGCGGAAAGGCGTGGTGCTGGCCACTCGCCCCCTCGTGTGCTGTGCCGGCCTTCAGAGTTGCTTGCTGACGCCACTTGGCCCAACAGTTTGTGTTAACGCTCTACGGGGGAACTTTATCTTGAGAGTACCGCAGAATGTCTGCACGTGTGTCGGTGCGTTCTTGTACTTGTGAATGTGTATATGCGTGTGCTGGCGCTTGCTTGCACGTGGGAATGAATGCACGCATGTGTGTGCGTGTACACACACACACACGCGTGTGCGTGCGTGTACACACACACGTGTGTGCGTGCGTGCGTGTACACACACACGCGTGTGTGCGTGCGTCTGCCGTGTGCGCAGGGGCGGCTGGCCGTGGCAGGCCTCGGTGTGGGTGCGCGCCGGTCCCCACACTGAGAGTCGCCTCCTGTGCGGAGCCACGCTCATCAGCAGCTGCTGGCTCCTCACTGCTGCGCACTGCTTCAAGCGGTGGGTGGGGGGGGGGGGTACAGGGGGTTGCGGTGGGGGGGGGGGGTACAGGGGGTTGAGGTGGGGGGGGGTACAGGGGGTTGAGGTGGGGGGGGTACAGGGGGTTAAGGTGGGGGGGGTACAAGGAGTTGCGGTGGGGGGGGGGTAGCTCTTAGTGGGAAGTTCCCTGCAGATGGCCCGTGGAGAGGCCAGCTCTTGGACGCGTTTCCGTGCTGTGTCCCGCGCGATGTCCGACGTTTCACGCAACGCGCTCGGGAGAGCTTCGTGAAGAAGCTGAACAAAGTTCCCAAGGGACGTGGACTGACACGTCAGACATCGTGCCGAACAACCGGAAAACTCGTCGGAGAGCCGTACGGCACGACCGCAGGGGTACGCATGCAGGGGTCACGTGGCTCGACTGGCCGCCCAGTGGCGCACCGAGCCAAACGTTGCACAGGGGTCACGTTGTTTCCCTGCCGAGGGGAGGTCGGAAACGAATGCAATTCCACATTTTTGTGGAGAAGAAAGAAAAAAAAAGTCTCAAAAAAAGGTCGGTGACGTACGACGCCCATCGAAGAATGTCCATGGAGGGGGTGGGGGGTGGGGGGTGGAAAACTGCCCCATTGCCCCCCCTCCCCCTCGGTGTACTTCTGCAGGCCACCACCACCACCACCGCAGCCGCAGCAGCGGCAGTGGAACTTGTACGACTGGTTCAGAGAGAGGCAGTGGAACAAATTCACCTTCGTGGCGGTGGATTGACGATGAGACCCCGACGGCGGTAGGGGGGAGGGGGAAGCTTCGTGGTGGTGGCACAGCGACGTGTCGCTACAGCCACGTGTCCGCCACAGCGACGCGCCACAGCGACGTGCGGCTCCCAGACAGTTTGACCTTCGCTTGTTGGAGACGCGGCTAAAAACATTTTTATCTTCACTTTTATGTAACGGCATCTCCAGATACTTTGTAGAGATACATGAATTGGGTGAAAACAAAAATGGTGTTAAAGTCTGCCCTTGAACAAGGTTGGCAGCAGTCTCCACTGCACGACGAAGAGAACTTAATTCGAGACGGCAATAGAATACAAACCCGTGCAGTCAGCGGAGCCGATGAGTGAATACTGAAACGATAACCTCCGCACGCACCCAGCACGAGCAAAATCCTCTCTCGGTGACCGCCCCGCGTGACCCCCCCGCCCCCGCTCGGCACGGTAAGGGCACGCACGTGTACGGTCGCGTGTCTCGACCGTGCGGCAGTAGCTGCACGACCCGGCGGAGGAGAGTTGACGACGAGGTGCGGCGGTGGCCTCGACGGCTATGGGCCCGACGACCTCTTGACCTTGACCTGGCCGTGGTGTGACCCCCTCTGCCCCTGCCAGGCTCGGCACGGGCGGCGCTTTCTACACGGTGCGCGTGGGCGACCACCACCGGCTGGTGCGCGACCGCGCCGAGCGGGAGCTGCGCGTCGAGCGGATCGTGGTGCACGAGCGCTACTCCCCGACGCGGCACGTGCACGACATCGCGCTCCTGCGCGTGTCCACCCTGCACACAGGTGACTCGCGCGCGAAGATCCCCCCCCCCCTGCGTGTAGCCTCTAACAGACTGGCGGCGCAAGTGCTGTTGGCGAGCACTTATGGTGAAGGCCGGCTCGGCACACAAGTGGGAATGGGTGGCTGCCACCACCACCATGCCCGGCCGCCTTTGTCTCCCCAGTGCTGCCGCACTGCACCAGGTACTTATTTAGAATCAGAAGCAGAATTTGTATTTATACTTGAGGAAGCCCGATGAGCTTCAAAGCTCTTTTTGTAGCAGGTGGCGAGTCGGGGTGGGTCACAACATTTCAACAACAAACGATACAAAAAACACGATAGGAGTGCAAAGTATAGCAAAGGTGAACAAATCACTTTAAAAACATATATGATGAGTCTAGCTAGAGGGAGGCCCATGACGGGTGAGCAGGAATCGAACGCGGGCGGCCAGTTGCGTAGCGCGCTGAGCTAACCAGTGCACCACCGCTCCCCCACTACAACCACACTGTCTAATAGCAAGCGGGGGGGGGGGGTGTCTATGTAGAGTATCCGAGGGGAGCCGTGTCAGGCTGTGAGCCTGCATCTCGCTGCAGGCCCTGGATGGAGCGGAGGGCTCTGGAGTTCCCGGGGGAGGGACGTGTGTCCCGTTCAGCGAGGCGGTGAGGCCGGCGTGCCTGCCGCGCCGGCGGGGGCGCTTGCCGCGCCGCCACCACTCCTGCTTCATCACGGGCTGGGGCGACACGGGTGAGCCGGCGTGGGCCCTCGAGATCTCCCCTGTCCCTCTCTCCATGCTACCCCATCTCTCTCTCTCTGCCCTTCCCTGCCTCTGATATCTCTGCTATCTCATCTCTTATCATCACCTATCGCTCTCCCATTCCCCTTGTCTCTCTCCCATCTCTTTGCTATGCTTCTCTGAACTTTGCCTCTGGCCTAGCGCTCTCTTCTCTGTCTTATCTCACATTCTCTCATGCCCGCCCCTTAATTTTCATCTCCCTTTCTCTCTATTACTCTCATAAACTCTCTTTCGCACTCACTGCCTTCACTCTTCCTGTCTTATTTCTATCTCTTCTCTCACCATATTTTTTGTCCTCTACTCTCATCCCCTCTTTCCTCCTCGTCCGACCCCGCCATGACCCTGTGATGACCCCACTGTGCCCCCACCCCTCCTGGTCTCTGTTGCCCCCCCTCCACCCCCGGCTCCCTCGGCCCCCCAGGCCGCTCGTACGCACGCACCCTGCAGGAGGCGCGTGTGTCGGTGCTGCCCGGGCGGTTGTGCCGCTTGCGCTACGGGGGCCGCTTCGAGGGCGGCCGCATGGTGTGCGCGCGAGGGTCGCGACCCCCGACCCCGACGGACACCCCCCGTGACGCCTCCGGCAACGGCGGGATCGGCGGCCAATGGGGTCGCCAGCAGACGACGCAGCACGGGTACGAGACCTCGCGTGCCCTTCGCGCGCTCGCCGTGGGGTGGGGGTCGTGGGGGAGGGGTGGAAGGGCACGGGGCAAGTGTGCGCGTGTGTGATGCCAACCTACGTCTGGGCGCAGACCGTGGAACAGGCGGCTTTGAAAAAAAACAGTAACCCACGGCATAACGGAATTCTGTTCCATTTCATAAACGTTTTAAATGCACCGTAAACCCTTCACGTAGTACACATTACAGACTCCGTAATGGTATTTGAGTGCTTTTAAAGTGTACATGAAACACAGTGCCCGACACACCCATACCCCGATGTCACGATTTGATGGAGCGGGTGTGCTGCGTGCATCAACGTCTCTAGCGGGCAACGTTGGCGGTGGTGGCGGCTGCGTTGCACGTGGCTGCCCGTAGCCCAGCACTGCGGACGTAGCAGCGAGGGTTGGTGAGTCACGACGCAGATGTTGTGAAACTCCCTTTCCCGTGGGCGTCGAGGAACCTCAGCCCTGCAGGTGCCATCGGCTGCTGCTGCTGCTGCTGCGGAGCTGCGTTGTCGGGTCGTCGAGGGCATTGCAGCAAAATCAATGGTTGCACTGTACCAATATGCTCCCACGACTATACTCCCGGCCTTCACCAAACCGGCACTGAGCAGCACTGACGACCAGAACAGTGAAGTATGGTTGAAAAGCCCTCCCAGCAGCAGTGCATTGTCGTGCCACTCAGCCTCCCCCGCCCCTCTCCCTCTGTATCGATCACAGCGGCGGCGGAGGAGGAGCTGGTGACAGTTGCCAAGGAGACAGCGGGGGGCCCCTCTCGTGCCAGGAGTCGTTGCGGGGAGCGGACGCCGCCCCCCCCGGCGGCGGTGGCGGGAGGGGGGGCCGCTGGGTGGTGGCGGCGGTGACGTCGTGGGGCCACGGCTGTGGGGAGCGCGACTCCCCCGGCGTGTACACGCGCGTGTCGCGTTACGTCGCTTGGATCCACCGCGTGACGGCCATACAGTCGTCGCAGTAGCGCGACTAAGGGGGGGCCGCGGTTGTGGATGGTGAGGGGCACCCCCCCCCCCCACCACACTGTGGGGCTTGCCGGGTTTGGCCCGACACCTCCGCACGGGCCAGAAGAGCGCGAGGGGTCAGGGGTCGTGATCCGCCACGATTCCCGTCGATGCCGCCCCCGGCTTGACGCCGAGGATTCCGGAGTCGGGAAGCTGGTGATTCTGAGCCGGGATTTGTCGATGACTCAACACGCCATGGTGGATCGGCGTAGAGGATCCGGACTTGTTCGTCGTAGCTCTCGAGTGTGCAGGCGGTGCACCTGCATGGGGCCCACGGACTTGGAGGCCCAGTGGCCGGGCTACGAAGAGGGGGGTGGGTGGGGGGGGGGGTATGGGCAGCAGGAGGAGAGGGAGGAGAGAGGGTGGGACCGGGGGGGGCGGGGTGGCCCATTTCATTCCTTGCACCAAGTTCCATGCCAACCACGCTAGACCGCTGCCCTGTCGGACATGCCGAGAACGCTCGCCGATGATGGGGGGGGGGGGGGGAGGATGATGCGGTGTGTCCCGTGTTCACTGATGGAGATCATACAGGTAGGAACAACAGGTTCCACACTGCCCACCAGGGATTATTTGTATGTCTGTCCGTGCACGATTGCGCTGTCCAACCAAGTTCCTACCTGCCCACTCCGAAGGAACAGTGTTCAAACACGACGAGGTGGTCACTGTGACAGCGGCGAGGCCCGCTGAGACGACGGGCTGAGGTGGACGATGAAGATGTCGCTTGCGGCGACTTGCACGTGCAACTCGCCACCCTCACATGAGCCAGGCCTGATTATGGCGCTGATGGGTCACTAATCAGGGGTTCACAAGTCCCTATAACAGGGGCACATGGGTACCTTAATTCATGGTTCAATAGCCAGGGGTTTATAAGTCCTTAATGTATGACCCTAACAGAAGTTCATGGGTCCCCAAAGGGGATTCATGGGTTCCTAAACAAGGATTAGATGTGGAATTACGGGTCCCTAACAGGGTCATAGGTATGGGTTCGTGGGTCCATCGTTGCTTGTCGCTCATTGGAGGGCGACTCACGACACCTACAAGTCGCCCCCGTTGCTTGGCATATGCTGAGGTTGATGTTCCATGATGATGATGATGGTGGCCATGGTCACAGTAATGATTACGATGGTGATCCTGATGATGGTGTGGTGCTGATAATGTTGACATTGGGATGTGTGTTGATGATGATGTGATAATGGTGTTGTGGTGGTGGTGATGATCATGTTCGTTTAGCTGGAATAGTCCGGAACGCTCTTCCGGCAATTGCTTTGACCATGCCACATCCATCTTCTCATCTTCTTTTCATCATTATAGGATGATTCTGGTACAAACATAGACGGTACAATAATATCGGAGGTTTGTTGTGGATGGGTCTACCTTGCGACTCTAGCTGTAGCACCTCACGCCGATGACCACGAGACTCCAAGTGAGCAGGCAGCGTTCCGGGGGAATGTGGAGCGAGAAATGAAGCCATCGGTGCGATCGTATTTAGACGCGAATTCCCATTACCGACGACGATGATGGTGCTGTCACGGGCTAGCGGCTGTTAGATCGCATGGCCTGATGTCCTAACAGGTTCGCGATCGGCGATGCGGAGGAGGGAGTGCGTAGCGGCGTGTAATTTATGCCGCGGTGGGGGGGGGGGAGCTGTGAGCCTGGCGTGGGTAACTGAAGCGGCAGGCTGCACACGCACAGGCGGCAGTCGGCGTGACTCGATGTCGCTCGCGACGAACGCCGTGCCACCGGACGGAGGACGAGGAGTTGGGGGCGGGGAGGGGCGAACCTCGCACGCTGACGAAGTTGACACCCGGACCACACAATCCAGCAGAGCACACGCTACCCGTACCCTTCACCCTAACAAACGAGCCATTCTGACACGAGCCCTGGACACGGGGCATAGCTGCAGACCACGTGCGAGAACCTCGCCTGGTCTACAGCAGGTCGTGGGTTCGATCCCGACCCTTGAGGCCTGCTGTATGTTTGGAGTTCGCCGTGTCTCTCTCTCTCCCCGTGGTCGCGTGGATTTTTCTCCGGGACCTCCGGTTTTTTTTCTTCGCATTGAGAAAACACGCGTTTAGAGTATTTAGCTGTTGTACATTTCCACTCGATAACAAGCCACTTGGTTGAGCTATCATTTGTGGGCAGGTCGCCTCTGAAAAAGAGCCACAAAGCTCAGTGGGCCTTACCTGGTCAGTACAACAACCCTCACTCGCCATTCGGACAATCGCCCTAATTCTATTGTCTGAAAACTAGGCAATCCGAGGCGAGTCTTGACCCCAAATCCAAGCGCTCGCCCTCCCTGTAGGAAGAGCCATTCTTTAGAATTCGGTTAAAAGCTTGACGTGTCATGAGCCGCAATGCCACATGAATACGAGACGGTGGTGGTCCTGAATAAATGACGGTGTCACAAAGCGGTCCTCAAAGAGCCGCATGCGGCAACGCAGCCGCAGGGTGCTGACCCTTGACCCCAACCCTACCTCTGGGCTCCAACGTCACCGACTGTTTCTCACTGTTGGTGTTCACGGCGCCTCGGGGCCCCACGGGACACAATGTTGATGACTTCTCGTACGCATTATTGTCTTTGTATTAATGTGTTTACATTAACGTATACATGTGAACGTGTTGATGTATACTATCACGAGAATAAACGTGAATTTGTGTGTTTTTTTTCTTTTCTCTGAGCATTGGTGCTTTTCTCCTGTTTATAACCTTGAGCCAGTGGCCAAAATTCCACATTCCTATGACGGGGGCGAGTTTATCCACGTGACCACTACGTTGACTTCCCCACTAAGTGATACTTAAAATTTGACTTAAAACTTTCGTGACTGCAGGAATTCATATTCTTTGTTTTTTTTTGTAAAGTCACGTAGATAGAAAATAATAAAATAATAAGAAATAAATGCATTATAAAAAAAACAAAAACTCACGACGTTTCGATCACTACACAATCGGTCGTCATCAAGGGGAGATAATTATATTTATTATTTTCTATGTAGATGACTTTACCGAGAGAAGCAAAGAAAGAGGTGTGGTGAGACTGCGTGTGCAGGTGTGGAAGTCCCCCGACGTGGATGGAGACTTGTGGTGAAAATTGGAGCCGCTCTGTCGATCCGCCATTGGATGAAGGTCGCCTCCAGGGACTTTGTCCCGACGTGGCGGTTTGTTTGGCCATACTTCCCCGCGCTGGCTGCTGCGTCGCGGGAGACTTGTGATGTTGCGGGTGATCGGCGCCCCTCTAGTGACCCCAAGCGACGTCGATCGGTAACCCTCCCTCACTCGTTAGCATCCCCAGCACGTGCCAGCCAAGGTGACGGTGTGGGACCTTCTGCCATGGTGGGTGCTGGTACAAGGGGGGTGGTGGTGGTGGAATTTGAAAGGGTGTGGCGGGAACCCAGTGTGGCGTGGTGTTTGATTCGCAGGTGTATGATGTGTCTCAGGCCGTAGCCATGGTGTCAATATTGGGGGGGACCAAATCTTCCAGGGGGTCTGGGGGTCCCCACCCCAGAAAAAAAAATCTAAATTTCCCGCTAACGGGCAGCATCAGTGACGATTATCTGAACCGGTCCGGGGTCTCCCCTAGGTCGACTCAGCCCCAAACGAGTACCCGTTGCAGCGTATAAAAACATTGCTACTAGGGAGACAAAGGCGGCCGGGCGTGGTTGTTGGCCACCCACCCCCTCGTGTGCCGTGCCGGCCTTCAAATATGCTCGCTAACAGCACTTGCCCCAACAGTCTGAGAAGGCTACACGGGGGATCTTTGTCTTTGTCTTGCCTCCCTCACTTCAGTCCCTCCCCCTCTCCTCGCTAGCCCCTCCCCCTGTGAAGGCCCCTCCCCCTCTCCTCGCTAGCCCCTCCCCCTCTCCTCGCTAGCCCCTCCCCCTCTCCTCGCTAGCCCCTCCCCCTCTCCTCGCGAGCCCCTCCCCCTCTCCTCGCGAGCCCCTCCCCCTGTAAAGGCCCCTCCCCCCTCCACAGGACGTGACGTAGCGTCACTTCCGGCGCGGTGACCATGGCCGATCTGGAGGCTGCGACGCGGGGGAAGACGACGACGTCCTACCCGGCACCGAAGGGTAGCGCCAGGGGTGGCACCACCACCACAACCACCACCACCATAACCACCACCACCACAACCACCACCATCATCAATCAGGGGTGGCGACCACCACCACAACCACCACCACCACAACCACCACCATCACCACACCACCACCACAACCACCACCACCACAACCACCACCACCACAACCACCACCACCATCATCATCAGGGGTGGCACCACAACCACCACCATCACCACAACCACCACCATCATCAGGGGTGGCACCAACCCCCACAACCACCACCCCCACAACCACCACCCCCACAACCACCACCCCCACAACCACCACCCCCACAACCACCACCCCACAACCACCACCACCACAACCACCACCCCCACAACCACCACCAACCACCACCCCCACAACCACCACCCCACAACCACAACCACCACCACAACCACCACCCCCACAACCACAACCACCACCACCGCCACAACCACCACCCCCACAACCACAACCACCACCCCCACAACCACAACCCCCACAACCACCACAACCACCACCCCCACAACCACCACAACCACCACCCCCACAACCACAACCACCACCCCCACAACCACCACCACAACCACCACCCCCACAACCACCACAACCACCACCCCCCACAACCACAACCACCACCCCCACAACCACCACCACCACAACCACCACCCCCACAACCAGAACCACCACCCCCACAACCACCACCCCCATCATTAGGCGGTGGCACCACCACTATCCCCACGCCTGGCGTCTCTAACCATACTTTACCACTCTGGGTCAGTGCGGATTAGTGAATGTGGATTACGTAATGGAACAACAATGGATGGGTATAGTCCTGTACAGTATTCTCTGCTTGCCCACCCCACGTGTTTTGTGTGCGAGTGCTTGTCACCCATACCAAGAAAACACAGTCCAGGCTCCAACCCGCTTAGCTTCTGAGTGCTGATGGGATCAGGCGTAACCAGGGTGTTGAGAGGGTGTGTGGGGAGTGTGTAATGTGTTCCGTGCGTTGCGTGATATGCGAACTGTATACAAATCCTACGTGTTAAAATGTTTGGTGTGTTGTGTGCTTGAGTGATGAGGCTGTGTATGGTGTGGGTTGGTTATGACTGCGTGGATGGTGTTGTGTGTGTGTGGGTGCATAGTGTGACACGATGTCCGCATCCTAGCGCGGCAGGTGTGTGTGTGTGTAAAGTACTACTGTCATCAGGAACCGGTTCGCGACATTACA